ATGCGCGGGCCGCCGTGGAAGGCCGGATTAATAAAGCCTGCGAAGTAGAGCCACAGTAGAGACAGGGTAGGAAGCCGCGGGAGGCAGGTTACACCAAACTATGGCGACTGTGACGCTTCAAGACGCCAGAGAAACAGTTTGGCACCGACGGTCTCTGTATAGAGGGTATCGTGTCTCGGCAAGAGATTAGGGACCGTCCGTGGATTAGAGCGCGCTTAGGGAAGTTATTCTTAAGTGCTCACAGCAACAAAGTGGCCTTTGCTGCAGCAGGCGGCCAGCCCTCCTCGATCCTACTGCTCATCATCGTCGTCTTCGAGAATGTCATTAAATAGTCCTTTTTGCGCAGTTTTTTTTTTTTTTTTTTTTTTTTGTTATGTACGACGAGCAGAGTTTAACATTGTTGACTCTCCTGTTTGACCTTCAACAGTCACACTTGTCCCTATTAACAGTAAATATATTGTCACGAAATGCCCTTCTCATTAATTTGATAGTTTTTGGTCTTCAATACGACAGATTATCATGTTTTAACTGGAGGCGATTTTAAAGTTACTGGAACAGAACATAAAACACACAAAAGACATTTATTCTTTAAGTAATAAGTTACAGTACATGTAGTTCTCTTTAAATTACCCCTAAATATCGTTCCTAATAGAAAAACTGTGAAAAATATTACATAATAAAACGAATGTTTCTCTTCTTCATAGAATTATTTTTCTTTATTTTAGATTTTAGCCAAACTAAACAACATATCGCTGAACAAAATCAGTGTCTTTCAGTGGTTACGCACCTCAGTATCTTAGGACTGACAGGAGGAAAGGACTTTCAGCTAATTACTGACCTGAAGAGTACAATTAAAGAGAAGAGGTGATTCTGCACCAAAACAACGTGCACAGCTGTGTGAGGAGTTCAATTCTGTGTTTAAAACTGTGAAATATCTACACAAGTCCGCTCGTGCTTTTACATTTTGAGGAATGAGTAACCTGTTGAAATGTTGACTTTTGTGTGAAGGTTGAGTGAATTTATTCTTTCACTTCTTATCCATAGCTTTAAGATATTTTCGCGGGGTAGAAAATGAAAAGGTGACTACTTAAGGAGAGCTCTTTTGGTATCGATGACCTCTCAGAGTGAGGTATCCACTACAGGTGTTTCTGTCTACCTTTGATGAGAGATTTAACTCCAGCACCATCCTAAAGTGGTGTACTGCACATTTTTGCTAACTTCATATTTGGTGTTTTTGTTACCCCATAGATGTTTTTTGCTAAGTTGACGTTTGGGTTTTTTTGCTAACTTAATTGATGTTTTCTTTCTTTCCTCAATCACTCTGCTAATGAGTTGATCATCATTCACATTTCCTACCTAAACCATTGTAAGAGACTGCTGGTTCTATTACCTTCAAATGATCACATTGACTACTCCCAACAGAATAACAAACTCCAAATTAAACAGCTACGCTTCAATTATGCTAGCAAATAACATGGTGTTATGTTACGTTAACATTGTTTAATTATGATTAAGGCGGAGAAGTAACGGCGTGTTCTTCTTCTTACGTGTTAAAGAAAGAAAAGAGAAGTCAACAAAGACAAAGTTTTCTTGATTATTGGGTTCATTGGAGCTATACACATTTTTTTCACACATTTTTGCTATTCTTTCAAAAGAAAACTGTTCATTGATAGGGTTATATCCAAGTTATATTGTTTGATGTTGCCTTTTATTTAGATGTAATAAAATGTGTTACATAAACCTAACATCTTGATGACTACAATATTTCCTAGGAAAAAAGAAAAAAAATCACTATTTTACCTGGTACATGGTGTGCTGCTAGAGTTGTTTCTCTTTTTAAAATCATGTTTACTTTCTGTTTGTGGTTTTCAAAGCGGTCAGACTTCCCATCATGAAGTCACAGAATCCTACCAGAGAAAATCATAATGTTTTGTTGAGACGTGGATCCAATTACATTTCCAGAAAAAAAGAGCAGCTACACTTGATGATTGCAGGTGTAAAGGTAATTTGGCCTTCCAAAACTGTGCACGATGTTTTGAGACTCGATAATTAAGGAATCAATATATGACAGAAATTCTGCTTCTGCTACAGCCTGGTCACTGACCTACTGTTTTGGCACTGAAGGTGTGAATAACTGGAAGTGTATCTTCTGAACATAAAAGTTTGTCCAGACCACACAGCGCCGTGTTTGAATGAAGAACCATCCAATCACAATGACCCTCTTATGGGGATTGTACAACAACAAAACACCAAAGTATTAATATAGTTTGTTGTCAGGCTTATTGATTACCAACAGATGCTTCCTGTGTTGGCATTTAAAAAATAAAAGGGACAAAATAGATATAAAGGGAAGCAGACCTTAAAATATCTCAAAAGTTATAGAGTGGTCCTCAGTTTACTACGTCCTTGACCTACGGCATTTCGTAGTTAGAACGCCATCTCTGAAAAATTTACCAGGAAGGCTTGTTCCATCAGTTGTTCCAACCAGTTGGCGAGCAAAGTGGACAAATACTAACGTGACACAGCACTATACGTGGAAGACGGCTTTGTTTACATTTGCCGGTTATACGCCAAACATTGGATTGTGCTACATTCTTTTACCACTACGTTAGCGTCGGTGAGTGACATAGGTACTTATGTAGTATCTGAGTTTAAAAATGGATTTATGTCGCGCTTTTAGAACTAACGTTAGATTTTACAGATTGAACAACTCTTTGATAATGATTGCCTGTTTTCTTCCCCTTCATTTTCCACAACCTTATATGGAATTGCTTTGTTGTGTCCAAGCAGAACATGTTTTTGTTGCTTTGGTTTTCCTCTTGAGCAGAGTTTGTAGCTGCAGGACATTGCAAAACAAGTCAAATGCT